AACAATAATATACTCTGGGCATTATGCTAAAAACTTGAAGACTAAAGAATCGAATAAAATCATAATGTTTTATTTGGAGGTCTAGATCAGACATCATTTGAAAGTATGAAATATTTGTATTAATTCCATTTATATATGGAATAGCCACTAAACTGTATGTAAGAATTGTGCATATTAGCTTCGTATAAATTACAAATACAGTTTAAAATAATTCTTAATAAATTATAGAAAATTACAAGAATCATTATCTTGATTATTATAATTCGGCACTATAAGCTCATATATATGTTACAAGTCATATAGTTCCTGTCTAATAGGATTTAATTACAAATTAGTAGATAATTATCGGATCATTTAAACAAAACTTGAACAGACCTCATACATATTGCTTTCCGAAAATGTGTGATTATGTTGTGCAGAACCAGGAGGTTTTCTGAGCATTATAATTAACATACTTTGAGAGCTCTTATGTAAGCGTTATCTCTCTTAATTGATTCCGATTTTCACTTGATTGGTCAATAACTTGGAAGTTTGTAAACTGATTTTACACATTTACAGTAAAACTGATTAATGAATTGATCCACATTAGGAGGTCACAGTGATTACTGGTGTTTAGGTTTAACAGTTCATACAGATGTTGGTAATTTTTCAAGGAACTTCTCCTGGCTTTTTTTTTAGTTTCTTGTCCAGTTTTCTGGTAATACATTTATTAGGTAAAATGTATACATATGTACTGAATAGATATGAACATGAGCTTACATGCTTGTATCATCCAATTAAAGCAGAGCATCAGGGAGAGACAACAGTGTATTATGTTTGTGATTACTCATGATATTTATTGTTCTTTCTAGAAAGGGCTTTTGAATTCAGCCTCAACAAATATTGTTTGTAAAATAGTCATGTTATCAAGAACATACGTTAATTCTTGTTCTTTGAGCTTGTTTGCTTGAAATTTGTGATGATTAGTTTATACTTTTTGAACTCGTAGTAATCTTAATACGATTCATTTGCATGTTCAATTTATAAAAAAAATATTGAATATAATTGATTATTCTTTTCCAGGGGTCATTGTTACCACAGCCTTAGCTTCTAGTTGGAGTATCACGATGATTGGAATTGACCGTTTTATATTCATAGTTTATGGCCTTTATTATAATATTTGGATGACGACAAAACGGGCCAAGATTATGATTGGAGTAGTGTGGATACAGTGTTTTTTGATTGGATTTTCTCCGGCTATGGGTTGGTCATATCCAATTGATGGGTCAAAGTGTTGGTATATTTTAGTGGTGAAACCAGCAAATCTTATTTTTACAGTTATCATTGGAATATTTCTGCCTCTTGGATTCATTGCTGTATTGTATATTTTCATACTGTTTAAAGCTCTCCACCAGACGGATGTAAGAAAAAGTGTAACGGTGGAGATTCCGCGAGAGAACATTGAGATCTCGGAGATTCGTGGCCAGCAAAATTTAAGCGCTATCACATCTGAAAATAATATTCGAAGGCAGAAGTTGGCCATTGGAAACCAGAATTCTACCAGGAAGACACAGAAGAAGTGGAAGGCTCTGAAAGTGGTACTATTCACGCTTATTTCCTTCGTTGTGTCGTGGTTTCCTTACTTTATCGCTTCATTCATATATGTATTAAACCCTAGTGTCAAGTTAGCAGTGACCATAGCCAGCGTCCTGGCAGTCCTTGGGTTCCTTAACTCCTTTCTGAACCCTCTTATCTATGCCTGGTGGCATCGAGGGCTTCGGAAGTTCATAAAGGAAGACTGTTTGCGCCAGAAGAGAAAGAGAAATTTCCAACGTTCAGGAACTCCTGGAAGCAAAACTAGTTCGACCAGCACTTCCACATCCAAAATCAGCAATGACAGTATAAAATCTACCGAAAATGAGGCCCATAGTCGTGATTCCTCAGAATTATAAAACTGTACCAACGTGAAATCGCCAGGATCGTTTTATGACATTGTATAGAAATAATACATTGAAACAGTATTTTCATTATCTTTTGAAGTATAACATGATAACAGCATAAATATAGGAAAACACGGTGTTTTTACGAGAAAAAAACAAAACATTTTCGTGCTTAGTCAGTTTCACACTTTGACCTTCTTGATATTTCTTACCAATAAAAAAAAAATATCCTGTGTTTTCTTAAGGATTTAAAATCTGGATGCTTGTGATCTCTTCAAATACCTAACATATTATCTAAACTTAGCGTTATCTATTCTGAATTATATTAATAAATGTAGTTCGTGTCACATTTATTCTAAGGAATTGTGAAAGTCTCGGAAGTGAGCCGTAGTTACAGATTAATTTTTATATTCCTGCAATGTTTACTGTTCATTTATAAAAAAGTGCTTTTAGCAAGATATTTTGAAGATTCCGTCTGTGTCACTAAACGTAGTTTGTGAGTGAAAGATAAATTAAAATAGCCATATACTTATCCTGAAAGTGAGAAATGCCACACCGCAAAATGAAAAAGAGTGGTAGTAGTTAAGCCACTTGCACTAACGATTTTGTAGATGGCGCCAGTAGGTTCGAGAAGAACAAACTGAGAATATTAGTGGAAATGTACACACACATTGTGATACAAACAGTTCAGTTAAATTATGCCAAAGAAGAGCAAACATTATGCTTGGTGTAACATCTATAAAACTGTACTACCGGACATAGGTTGTCAACAAACTAAACTTCAAATTGATAAAACATCAAAGAATACTTAATCGAAAAAAGGAAACTCAAAACTATTAAGTGTATCTGCGAGTATTATAGCTTCTAGGGTAATCTCGATGCTTCGAAACTTAACTTGTTTGTTCTTGTTTTGAATTCATAGTTTCATTTTTACAACGTAATTGCGTGATAAAGATAAACGTTAACTAAATCTAACAATAACTATGTCGAAGTTCATTTTTACTGAATAAATATTGATGTTTATTGCGAAATATCTAGTTTCTTTTATTTCTCATAGATGTCACGAGTCACATAATTTTTCATACGCAATAATACATATGAAAGGCCCGGCATGGCCAGGTGGTTAGGGCGCTCGACTCGTAATCTGCGGGTCGCGAATTCGAATCCCCGTCGCACCAAACATGTTCGCCCTTTCAGCCGTGGGAGCGTTATAATGTGACGGTGAATCCCACTATTCGTTGGTAAAAGAGTAGCTCAAAGTTAGCGGTGGGTGGTGATGACTAGCTGCCTTCCCTATAGACTTACACTGCTAAATTAGAGACGGCTAGCGCAGATAGCTCTCGTGTAGCTTTGCGCGAAATTCAAACCTCAATACGTATAAAAACTCGTAGTAGCAGTTATCCCCTTATTTATGATCTCAATATATTTAATTTCTCCCACACAGATTCGTCAACAACCTAAATGTACATACATACTGAGCATCGGAAAACTGAACAGATAAACAGAGGCTGAGTACGTTACATTAAAACGATCTGGGATCCACGTCCGGGCGTTCTCTATCTGACAGCCGTGCATCGTGACAATAGCCCTGTATTGTAATTTCCATTGTTAACGGTCCCGTCGGAAAGCTGTGATATCAAAAGCATATTACTACTTGCTTGCTTTCCATAATCTATTTAGTGTACTACAATTTCCAAGCGCCCCTTTTCAACAGTCAGCTCGGACAGAATTCCATGAGCGACTTGACAGACATGTCTTCGTATGGAATATCATGAATATCCGTTTGATTCATTGGCTGTTTGAGGCATGCGACAGTTTAACAGATATGTTGTGAAAACAACTTAGTTGCACGTTACTTGTACCACTTTTCCCGAAGGAGACCATTTTTAATTATGTTGAATACTTTTACCCGGGGCATGTGAGTGGTTGCTTACGCTAACGTCTATGTTCTTGGATGCTCCCCCCACTTACCAGACGTCGCGCTTTGCTTTCCACAATTGGAGTACGACTTGTTATAGGTCTCTTTCTGGGTGGTTTTAGTGTTCCAAGTTAATAATATCTAATAAAAAAACAAAACACATTGGGTATGAAAAAATATAAGGCGCGGCCAAAAAAGGATTGAGCATGCGACTTAAAGGAATGAAATCAAAATTGGCGACCAAACTGGTAACTACACTTATAACATTGATAGGAATTGTACAGGAAACATTCATTCATTAGTCAGCTAGGTAGTGTATTTTGTTTTACCCACCATCATGCCCCAAATGATGCAAAAAGTGCGGCCTGGCTAACTAAAACTACCAGTTTGGTCGACAATTTTGATTTCATTCCTTTAAGTCGCACGCTAAATCCTTTTTTTGGCCGCACCTTTTTTTCCCACTCAAGGTGTTTTTTATTAAATATATGATGAATATTTGTCAATATACACCAACAAACCACAGCAAGTAAGAAAGTGACACTCGATAGTAACCAACATTAGCTTCAGGATCGCAACCCCATTATTTGGAGAGACCTATACTTTACAGAACAAACCAGATTCCTTACGAAATATATGGTGCTAATTTTGCCTCTCTAAAACAGTGTTAATAACTTAATTTATAGTAACTCCATGGAAGCTAGATTAACAGCTTCTTGTCATCGCCCACATGTACTCGGTACAGCCGTATCAAGCATCATTATTTACGCTAATGTCACGTAACGCTAAATGCTCTTTAATTAGGATAATTTTGTAAAACTTGGCAAACTTATGCTTAAAAGTTGGCAATGAATAATAACGGTACACCTTTGAAAACTTGAGCGAGAAACTGCTAATCTAGTTTGCTTGGCCTAACCAATACTTGTGTATCTGCACGTGCTTTCATCCTATAATCTTGCTGTTGTAAATCAGCCGTCTTTAATCAGAATGATAAAAAAAACTAAAAATGGTTCACTTTTACTCTTAGGTGAAGCTCTAGTAAAAATGTTAGACCGAGAGCTTATCTGGTGACTTTTTTGCGTAGGCGTGCGCAAAAATTTTCTTTCAATTTGAGCGGTTTTTGTTGAATAACTTTGCACACGTGGCTTATATTTACACCAAATGAGACTCCTAATTGTAGGTTGTAAAGATCTGTCAGTGTACGAACTTTGAAATAATTCCATAAAAGTTAAGTATGTTTTTTCATCAGATAAAGTCTCCGTACTTTATGGTGCGAAGAAAAAAAAATGGAAAAAAAAATAAATAAATACTGGAAACATTATATATCGGGTATTTCTTAATGGATTGCTTTGAAATTTGGTATGCGAAGTAAGGGTTCAGTAGATCAGTCTGAGCTACAGAAAGTGAAAAATCGCTAAACTATTCCCCGTGTTAATAACACACGGTGTGTTTTGCAGCAGGTTGTTTTGGCTGCACGACACACTAACCGGCTTAGAAGTCCCACATTTCTAGTTTTACACGAGTATTATGCATCGGAAAGGGCTGTTACATAATCTTCCCAAAAGCGATATATTTTCGGTGGCATTATACTACCTACGAACACCAGAGAATGTCAAAATTTAAGTCCGATAAATGTCACGACTCTATTACGTTTGTCATGCGACTTGCTGATTGGTATATTCAAAATCATTTTCTTATAACGAACTTAAGCCTCAGTAGAACTAGTACAAGTGTCTTGTGCAAAAAACAAAACATCATTACGTAATTCGTGAAGATGAGAAAGAAGATGAATTCTCCGATTGCTCAAAAATACAGTATAAAAGAGAGTAATCACCATCGTGTCTCAATGTTTTGCCTTGATGTAAAGGCTAGGTGTCTTATAACGTTAATCAGTGATCATACTAGTAGCATCAGGTAAAAACCAATACATTATCCTAACTTGAAAGCGCTAACGGACAATTCAGATTAAACATATAGTTTACAACGTAACTTCTAGATTTTCACATGCAACAATATATTTTAATTCCCCTTTCAACTTTTAAAGTTATTTGAAATTACGTTCTTTAGAGAACCGGTTTCATAGATGAAACTTTTCTTCAGCCTGGAAACGCTAACGTTTAAAAAAATAAAAATGAAAAATGTGGGAAAATAAAACAATTTCATCATATAGAATCATAAGGTACCCCCGGTGGGTCGGCGGTAAGTTTATGAACTTACAATGCTAAAATCCGGAGTTCGATTCATCCCGGTGGCTAGAGTATAGATAGCCTATTATGTAGATTTATATTAAGAAAACGACAATAATAGCACTATGAAAAGATTTTAAACATTGGGAATCATTATTATCTTTGTAAAATAATTTAAGGTATATAGAATCCCAACAAATATTTGAGTAAATAAATAAAGATACAAATAGATCAATAACAAAGTATGAACCATGTAGAGTTATAATCTAAAATTGCTGTAGACTAAAAGTTAACAATAAATTTATGCATTTTTTCTTATTAACAATGAAAAAAGTTATGTTGAAGAGGGGTATTTTGATAGTTTATTTGATAACGTCGACATCTAATCTCATTTGTCAAGCTAGGCAGGTGTGACGAGATAAAGTATTGAATGCGTCCCCGCTGCAGTAGCATGTCGTCATTATTTAATTTCCTCGCTGTTCTCTATCTTTTACACATCCGGACACTGGAAGTGGTCCGAATCATTAATGATGATCTCGTGTATCACTTAAGCCCTGAGAAACCTTCATTAATGATACGGTTCCTAGCGTTGCAGGTAATGAATTATTTTGTTTCCTTCCATGAGAATTAATTTTAAACTGGTGACATTTGGGAACGAACATTAAAACGACAAAAAAAAATGAAAAAAAGAAAAAGAACTACTACTTTACCATCAATCTCTTGTAATTAATTTTAAACTGGTGACATTTGGGAACGAACATCAAAACGACAAAATAAATGAATTACTACTTTACCATCGATCTCTGATAATTAATTTTATACTGGTGACATTTGGGCACGAACATCAATAAACTGGTGACATTTGGGCACGAACGTCAAAACGACAAAAAATGAACTACTAATTTACCATCGGTCTCTGATAATTACTTTTAATGAACTAAATTTCATTTTTGATAAATGGATTCGACGAGTGATTTTTGTTCGTCTTTGAAGCATATTAGAAAAAAAAATATTTATGTAATCGTGTTGGATTATCAGGATCAAGTAAGTTACACATAATATAGAAAAGAAGCCAAACTAAGAATAAAGATTATCAGAGGCTCGAAATAAGCTCAGAAAGGAAGACAGATATACTGTTACACGTAAAACTGATAGTCGTGACACGCAGACACACGTATGACTTGCCATTTTGTAAATAAATAAATATAGTAAGTTTGTACGAACCGAGATAATTAACTACAAAATATGCTAATGTTTGAGAAAGTCAAGTATAACTTAAAAATGGCAGTGTCACGCTGTAAACACGAGAAACATTACAGAATATGACAGTGACACACTGAAAACACGCGAAACGTTAGAGAATATGACAGTGACACACTGAAAACACGCGAAAAATTACAGAATATTTGCTTGTTTCGTTTCATTAAATTCTGGTGTTACAGTTATGTTAAAGGTTTTGATTGTTAGTTTGAAGTTAATCACAAAGCTACAAAATGGGCTATCTGTGCTCTGCCTGCCATGGGTACTGAAACCCGGTATTTAGCATTGTAAGTCCGCAGACATGCTGCTACGCCACTGAGGGGGGGGGGGATATATTAAAGGCTTGGTCCAACATTTGTTTCTGCTCACGCCTCAGTTTATTATTATGTTGCTTCCTGGTGTCTTCAATCTAGTTGTATTTCAGCGGTGAATAATTTCACCGAAAACTCCCTTACATCATAGGATATTATTCGATAAAGTATTTAGGTTAATTTAAAATTTATTATTACTATTAACCAGCTTTCAGGATAATTAATTAGAAGCGGTATTCGTCAAACAAACCTCAGTTAATATAGCGACATAACAGCCTAAGAGTATCTAGGAGTTACAAAATATTTCTCTAATCTGTTTATGTATTTCATAACTTCAAATGAAATTACACATTTTTGAA